GCGGATGGGGGTGGAGTCAGCCCTCGGTGAAAAGAGAGAGACGCTCACACCCTCTTTAAAACCACAACAGCATAAATTAAAACAATCACATCCACAAGGCCACGGACCTATAAGGAAGATGGGGGGGCAGGCATTTATTACTTATCTCACCCCCTTGTTAATGTCCCACGAGGCAGCCTGAGGTGCAGAGGAAGGTCCCACGAACGCCCACCCACCGGCCTTGACCACCACCTGACCCAGGGGTCTGCCGGGGGTGGGGGCGGATCCTGGACCCCCCCCCCCGCCTGGGGAACAAGCGGGAGGCGAGACCCATTCGATGCCGGCCACACACACACTCCTTCGACACGCGCTCTGCGCGCCACTCGGGAAGCGGCGGGGTCACGTGCCGGCGGCAGCGGCGGGGAGACCAACAGAGGCAGCTATTCCCTTCTTCCGCCAGGTGGCGCCGCTGAGGGGCGGGGGGGAACTCCTCGGCTCGCCAGGCACCGGGCATGCGCAGAAGCGGGAAGCGGTGGAGGTCCCGACCCCTCCCCCCTCACCACCCCCGAGGCGCCGCTGCGAGAATGAGCGGGCGACGCCTGAGGAACCGGGGGAAGAGCGCCTTTTCGTCGCATCCGCCGCCGGCACGGCTCCGCGCGAGCTCCGGGAGGGTCTCGCCCCCCTGGCTGAGGAGGCGCCGCCCTCCCCTTCTGTCTCCCTCCCCCTTTCCTCCTCCTCCGCCTCCTCGCTAGATGAGCGCCGCAGGCGTTGCCTACCTGGCGGGCTCCGCGGTCATGTCTCCACCGATGGCAGCCGGGCAAGGCTAGGGAGGCCCGGGCTTCAGGCGCTGGAGAGAAACAAAGCCGTTAGCGCCACCATCGCCGCCGCCATCTTGTCGGCAAGATGATGAAGAAGACCAGCCTCCTGCCGCTTTCCTTCGCCCGCTCCGGCGATCCCTATTGGCTCGCGGCCGCCCCGGTCTTTTTTTCCATTGGCCCAAGTCAGCCCGGCATGTTGCTAGGGTCCTTTGCTCCGCCCTCCGGCCGTCGCCTGTCCGGATTGGTTGGAGGCGGAGTTGCGTTGCTCAACATCATGCACCGCGTCGAATGACGTCATCGCGTTGGAGGGAATTTTTGCCCTTAAGGGGGCGCTGTGGCCTTAGCGGGATTTCTTCCCGGAGTCGATACAGGCCACGTTCCTGCCTGTTACTAGAAATATCTTTCAGCATTTGTGGGGAAGAGTGTGAAGAAGAAGAAGAGATTGGATTTATACCCCGCCCTTCACCTCCCAAAGGTGTCTCAGAGCAGTTTACAATCTCCTTCCCCTCCCCACAACAGACACCCTGTGAGGTAGGTGGGGCTGAGAGAACTCTGATAGAGACGGCTCTTTTTCAAGGACAGCTCTTATCAGAGCTACGGCTTGCCCAAGGCCATCCAGCCAGGTGCAAGCGGAGGAGTGGGGAATCAAACCCGGCTCTCCCAGATTAGAGTCCACGCACCGAAAGAATCGGGTTTGATTCCCCCCTCCTCCACTTGCACCTGGCTGGATGGCCTTGGGCAAGCCGTAGTTCTCTCAGAGATTGTCCTTGAAAGGGCAGTTTTGGAAAGAGCTCTCTCAGCCCCACCTACCTCACAGGATGTCTAATCGGACATCCCTGGAGCTGGTTGAGGCTAATTGGACATCCCTGGAGCTGGGGACCACCAAGAGATGGGGCTCATATGGGGCTTGTCCGCCTTGATCCAGGTGTAAGAACGTAAGAGACGCCAATGTTGGATCAGGCCAAAGGCCCATCTAGTCCAACACTCTTGTGTCACACAGTGGCCAGAAATACCAGTGCCATCAGGAGGTCCAGCAGTGGGGCCAGGACATTAGAAGCCCTCCCACTGTTGACCCCCCCCCCCAAGCACCAAGAAGACAGAGCATTACTTGCCCCAGAGCACCTATCTATACCTTGTGGCTAATAGCCACTGATGGACCTCTGCTCCATATGCTTATCTAATTCCCTTTTGAAGCCGTCCATGCTTGTAGCACCCACCACTTCCTGTGGCAGTGAATTCCATGTGTTAATCACTCTTTGGGTGAAGAAGTACTTCCATTTATCCGTTCTAACCCGACCACTCAGCAATTTCATGGAGTGCCCACGAGTTCTTGTATTGTGAGAAAGGGAGAAAAGTACCTCTTTCTCTACCTGCTCTTTCCCATGCATAATCTTATAAACCTCAATCATGTCACCCCTCAGTCGTCGTTTCTCCAAGCTAAAGAGCCCTAAGCGCCTTAACCGTTCCTCATAGGGAAAGTGTTCCAACCCTTTTATCATTCGAGTTGCCCTTTTCTGCACTTTTTCCAAAGCTATAATATCCTTTTTAAGGTGTGGTGACCAGAACTGCACACAGTATTCCAAATGAGGTCGCACCATTGATTTATATAGCGGCATTATGATATTGGCTGATCTGTTTACAATACCCTTCCTAATAATCCCCAGCATAGCATTGGCCTTCTTTATTGCAGTCACACACTGTCTCGACATTTTCAGTGAGTTATCTACTACAACTCCAAGATCTCTCTCTTGATCAGTCTCTGCCAGTTCAGACCCCATCAACGTGTATTTATAGTTAGGATTTTTGGCTCCAATGTGCATCACCTTGCACTTGGCCACATTGAACCCCATTTGCCATGTTGACGCCCACTCGCCCAACTTTGACAGATCCCTTTGGAGTGCCTCACAATCCTCACTGGTTTTCACCACCCTGAACAACTTCGTATCATCCGCAAATTTAGCCACTTCACTGCTTACTCCCAACTCCAAATCATTAATGAACAAGTTAAAAAGCAGTGGACCAAGTACTGATCCCTGCGGTACCCCACTGCTTACCACCCGCCACTGAGAAAATTGCCCATTTATACTCACTCTCTGCTTTCTATTAAGTAGCCAGTTTTTGATCCACAAAAGGACTTGTCCTTTTATCCCATGATTTTTGAGCTTACTTAGGAGGCTTTGATGAGGAACTTTATCAAAAGCTTTCTGGAAGTCAAAGTAAACAACATCTATTGGGTCCCCCTTGTCCACATGTTTGTTCACCCCCTCAAAGAACACTAACAGGTTAGTGAGACAAGATCTTCCCTTACAGAACCCATGCTGAGTCTGCCTCAATAGGTTTTGTTCATCTATGTGCCTACTAATTCTTTCCTTAATAATGGTTTCCACCAATTTACCCAGTATCGACGTCAGACTGACTGGCCTGTAATTTCCCGGATTTCCTCTGGAACCCTTTTTAAAGATGGGAGTGACATTAGCTACCTTCCAGTCCTCAGGAATGGAGGCAGATTTTAAGGAAAGATTACATATTTTTGTAAGGGGATCCACAAGTTCACATTTGAGTTCTTTCAGAACTCTCGGATGTATGCCATCTGGGCCTGATGATTTATCAGTTTTTAAGTTTTAGGACCTCCTCTCTCATCACCTCAATCTGTCTCTGGAGATCATCCACCAGGGTGACCAGCACCGTCCCATGGATGGGATGAAAGCTGGACTGGAAGGGGTCCAGTCCTGGTTCGTGCCCACCCCTACTCCCAACATTTTGCAACTGGCCTTTGCCCCTATGACATCCATTTTGTGTTTTAACTGTTTTCTTCCCCAGCAGCCATTTTGTGGTGGCACCCACTCCTCCTCAAAATGCTGTTACTACCCAGAGGCTTCGCAAGGTTAGGCACTCTTGCCTATATGAAAAATTCAGCATTCTCTGCTGAAATCTCTGATAGCATCAGCATCTCCACACCACTTGCTCCTGTTTCTTGCAGTACTGAATCAACACTCATAAAATGAGGACCACCTTGTGCAAACTGCACAGTGCAAACTCTGCATTAAAATTTTTGAGAAATGTGCAGATTTTTGCCCTTATCAGATCTCGGAAGCTAAGCAGGGTCGACTCTTGTGTTTTGATGAGACCACTAAGGAATACCAGGGTCATTATGCAGAGGCAAGCAATGGCAAATCACCTCAGAACATCTTCTGCCTTGAAAACCCTCCAGGGTCACCATACGTTGGTTGCAACTTGACACCAAAAAAAAGGAAAGGCTCTTGATTAGCCATGCATGTCAATAGGCCTTCTCCAGCAGAGAACCTTATTGGGCTCCTGTAACAGAACACCTAAAGCCCGAGAGCATCCAGGATCTTGGACCACTGAGGTTTACATCGTTTCCATTCCGCATTGGGCCACCCTGTGAAACCTAACCCTTTTTGTACAACAAATTTAGAGTCCAGTGACACCTTTAACACCAACAAAGGTTTATTCAAGGTATGAGCTTTCATGTCCATGCCAGTGTTCCCTCTAAGCTGAGTTAGTGTGAGCTAGCTCACAGTTTTTTAGCCTCCGGCTCACACATTTTCGTCTCAGCTCAGGAAGGAGGGCTCCAGAACACACTAATTTATGCAGTAGCCGAATCACCTGCTCACAACTTTAATGCCGGTAGCTCACAAAGTAGAATTTTTGCTCACAGGATTCTACAGCTTAGAGGGAACATTGGTCCATGCACACTTTTTCAAATACATAGGAATGGCAGGTAAGGTTCAAGCTTATAGCCAGTGGACTCTAAATGTGTTCTACTGCTTCAGACCAACACGGATGACCAACTAGATCTACCTTTTGGTACAAGACAAGCCAGTTTGGGCCAGGCTTCCTACTTGTCGTGGAAGTTCAGGGCCATTACCCGATATCTGAAGGATGGGACTATCATTTACTAATTTTCTAATTGATAGCAGTAGCCTCTGACATCAGAGATAGTAATTTGCACAGAATTGGCAAAATCAGCTCATCACTCTTCGAGAAGAGACTAGCTTAGGTCCAATTCCTTTGATCATAAATACCGGGACATTTTATATTTTCCCTTGTCTTCAGAAGAAACAGAGGTCCACAGGAGGTTGGGTAGGGGTTAATGACTCCTTCAACACCTTGGTACTGCAAGGAACTCTGCACATGGCTACAGCCTAAGTAATGTATAATTAGCTGTGCTGATCAGCTGTATTGTGTTTTTTTAAATTTGTAAGTCTGTGTGCTGTGTTACTATGCGCCTTTCGCCTGTTTGTTTTGTCTTTTTAAAAATCCAGCCACCCTTCCCCCTTTTTTCTCACTTCTGTAAGAAACCTTTCCATAAAGACTTTTTTTGCAATCTGTTTCTCTGGGATATTTCTCTTCATCTCTCCCATACGTGCTAGATCACTTATTTGTTACAAGGGCCAGATCTGCCATAAATGTCACTCTGTCAGGCCGGGCCATACATACTGTAATGAAATGACTGCCAGGCAGAGGCAGCAGTACCTTAAAATGGCTGCCAGTCTGGTAGTCCTCTGGAGGGGGGAGGTGCTCCATAGGGAACAATGGGGCTGCCGTACCTCCCTGCCTACATTCCCCTCAGAGTTTTTTTAGTCTTGGTTTCCGCCTGAGCTTGAACAGCAGCTTCAAGGGGTGCCCTACAGGTGGGACTCCGGCTACCAATTGTGGTGGACAGCCAGGAGGGTTAGCAGTACTAGTGACCAGTCCAGTGAAGGGCTGGAGTTCCTCTCCAACAACCAGGAGGGATAAAGCAAATCCTGGCCTGCAGCCACCCACCACAGAGGTAGAGAGGGTGTGTGTGTCGGGGACAGAAGAACTGCGTTTAGATCGTGTTTATTTTCTGCCCAGTTTGAGTTAAAGTGCCTGTGTTTATTTTCTGTGCCTAACTTGTATGTAGTTAAAATAAATCTTTTTTAATTATAAAGCCTGGTAGAGCCTTGACCACATAGTCCTCCCCGCTCAGCATATTACCAGAGGCAACGGAAGGCCAGGGAACTCAAACGGGCCCAAATCAGAGGGGTTGCCAACTCTCCAGGGGGCACCCAAAGATTGAGATATCCACTTTCCTGGGTTGGGGAATCAGCCAGAGGGCTCTCACTGTCCCTCTAGGAAGGCGGTGTCAATGCAGTGAGTGGTGGCAGCAACAGAGGAAGGAAATAGCCCCACCAGGCAGGGTGGGCAGGTGAAAATGGGCTTACGAGCCACAGAACGGCTGTGCGAGCCACAGAACGGCTATGCAGGTCCCCATTTCGCCATGCAGAGGGGTAGTAGGCATGGAGATACCAGTATTGGTAATAAGAAGAAGAGAAGAGATTGGATTTATACCCCGCCCTTCACTCGGAGTCTCAGAGCGGCTTACAAACTCCTCTCCCTTCCCCTCCCCACAACAGACACCCTGTGAGGTGGGTGGGGCTGAGAGAACTCTGACACAAACTGCTCTTTTTCAAGGACAGCTGTGCCAGAGCTTGTGACTGACCCAAGGTCACATCAGCAGGTGCAAGTGGAGGAGTGGGGAATCAAACCCGGTTCTCCCAGATTAGAGTCCGCGCACTTAACCACCAAACCAAACTGACAGGAAACCTAGGTCTCAATTCTGTCCAGGAGGATGCAAAGAATAAATGGACATAATTCTGACATAAACGACAATATTAAAAAATCAGTGGGGGAACATTTAAGCTTCCAGGACATTGCTGACCTAAGTAGCAGTTCTCTTACAAAAGTATTTCAAAGAGAGACTGATGAATTGGAACTGATAATGAAGCTCAATGCATCCTCCAGGACTGAACTGAGACCTAGGTTTCCTGTCTCATTACCAACATCTGCTATTATCATATGGCATCTGAAATCATTCCACTCTCCAAGATATAAGGACCAATGGACTCACATTCTAGCTGTATCTGAAGAAGTGAGCAGTGACTCACGAAAGCTCATGCCCTGCCACAAATTTTGTTAGGTGCTACTGGACTCTTGCTGCTTTCCACTAATAAAGCTTGCAAGCTATGCTATTATGTTTTTCTCTCTCTTTTTTTTCACCTGTTTAAAATGGAGAGGGGGAATCTCTCCAAGTGAAATAATGTGTTGACTTCAGACTGGGCAAAATCCACTCAAGTGTTGGTGATAATGAAACAGTGGAAAAAGCAAAGGGAGTGAAGAAAGGCAGCCAGCAAAGTGGGAGGGGAACATATGGAACCATAAGTGTATTTTAAATACTTCGCCATCTGCTTCCAGTTTTAAACAATGTAATCCAATGGAATTAGATTATTAAACAATGGAAACCAATCCAAGTGTTCTAATTCCTAATCAGTGTCTTTTTGAAAGAAAATGAAATCCCAGATAGGCACAGAGAAATCTAATCTAAAAAAAATCTTTCAGAATAAATCTTAATTCTCCTTTCCCCTTATCCCACCTGCCCCTTCCTTTTAACACACATATACCTGTGTGAGCACAAGTGTGTGTGTGTGAGAGAGAGAGAGAGAGATCAAGTCTCAAAGAAAACAGCAGAGCACTGTGATCTCAATGTAAACTGTGCTTGTCAGAAGACTCCATGTGCCAACTCTCCCTCCAAAGTAGTATACAAACGCTTATACCTGAAACAAAATGTTGCTGGTCTTAAAGGAGCCACGGGATTTAGACTTTGCTCTCTCTCCTGGGCAGGGCTCTCTCTCGCTCTTTGCCTTCCCCTCCCTTCCTCCCAAAGAAAGCGACCTCAGTCAATGAAGGGAAGGGAGGCTTGGCTTGGAAGAAAGCAGGAAGCAGCAGAGGAAGCTGGGCAAAAGCAAGCTGCGATGCGGCAGTAGCCCTGGAAAAGGAAGCAGGAGGGAGCCAGTTGCTATGTTTGTGCTAGATTGCATAGGTGCTATAGTTTGCTATATTTTCCAGTATTCACCCTGTTACTTTGTTATTAGTCTACTACTGCGCTAAAAGGATACCCTCTCAGAGGGTCAGTCTAGAACTTCTCAGGAGGTACCTGAATGGTGTCAGCTGGTTATCAGGGTGTTTTCCAGGAAAGGAAAGGAGTTTCCCAGCAAGGAAAGTTGCCCTGTTACCCAAACTGGCTGTCTCTTAGTGAGTGGTGGGAATTAGCTTAAAGGACACCAGTGAGAGGGTAATGGGGACTTTCCACCAATGTCTGCCAGGAGTATTCCCTTAGAGAACTCCCAGAATGAACCAGTCAATTGTCCAACTGGTAAGAGTTTTATTGAAAAACAATAAAAAGGCAAAACATACCAACACACTGGAACACTCGTACAAGACTAGCTAAGATGAAAAATAGGGAGGAGTAGGGAGATCAAGAGATTATATTTACCAATCCAGAAGAAGTCTGCAGAGAGAGAGAGAGAGAGAGTTGAAAGTGGCCAGAGCTTCATGGAAGGTCCCACACAAAAGTGGGGGGGGGGGTTTTGAGGTAGAGCCAAGAACACACACACACACAAAATAGAGTTGACTGCTTGTATTTATACGAAAAATATTTCCTGAAGCATTATGCTGAATGATTGCCCCAATAAAGGTTGTGAAGAGCCTTTGATGGTGCTTCTTGAGTTATGCTCTAGCAGTAAATTTTGCTTGCTAACCCTTTTTATTACAGGACAGGACTTTTGCCATTGGGTGATTGGTGTTAAAGATTACCTATTGGGAATAAACAGGTGGTGGTGGGGAGTGAGGAGGTTAGTTCAAAGGGCTGTAAATGTCTTTCCTGGGAGATCTATTTGTCTTGATAATATACATATTTCTTTAAAGTGGGGAGGAAGCTGCCAGTTGGTCAGTCTTTGCAATTCACCTGCCAAAATACTCTCCCGGGCTCTTACTTGGCCAGCATCCATTTTGTTGGTTTCAGATCCATTTTGATTTCATACCCTGCACATATGATTTTGGAGTGATATTATATGAAGGGTGTTTGGGCTTCTTTTCTCTCTGGCTGCCAAACGTCTCCTTCTGCAGGAGGGGTCTGACTGATCCTCCCTTTCCTTCCACAACAGCTCCACTTGGGGGGGGGGGGGTATTAAGTCCAAAAGACAGCAACATGGAGAAGGTCATAAAGTATTTATTGAATGTTGTCCAAAACCTAAATTGGTCATTTCAATATCCATGCTACAACTGGATGCTTTGAATGGTATAAAAACATATTTTGAAACATCTGTTGAGTTAATACCAAAAAACAGACTGAGTTAAGGCACTTGAAATGTGTAATTAAACACAGCAAAATTGCATAAGAGAACTACTTAGCTGGGTGCAGCAGCAGTGACTTCTCAACTTTAATAAACAACATTCTGCCCTCCTTCCAAGGAGAAACAGAATATTGTTCTTGCTCTTCAACTATTACCCTGCCATGCAGGAGACAGTTATCAAGCTAAGCAGCTGGCTTTCCACATTAAATACAGTTCCTACAGTCTTTTAACAATTTCCTAAATGCACCAGGGCACCAATATCAAAACCAAGCAAAGCACCTTGAGTGGGACAAGCTGAAGAAATATGCCTTCTGAATTCTAAATCTCACCTGAGCAAAACAAATTTTAAAAAACCAGCTAAAGCAGAACATTCCCACTTTCTCAGTGGGTTTCTGATCTCACAATAAGATTAGTTATAGATCTTGGGAGCTTCTTTCACTGCCTCCCCAAACACATTTCTCTGCATTTAGAAACAGGCGCCATTCAAAGTCCACAGCAGCAGAAAACTAGGTTTGCTACTCAGCCTGGATTCTGAATGTGAGATGCACAGACCTGGGACTTCGAGATCATTGTCCCAATCAAATAAAAGGCATGGACGCAATGATACAAAGATCACACGTGCATGTGGATGGGTCCCAAATGTTAGAAGGATTAAAAAATATATATATCCAGCATCTAGCACTTAGAGCAGTAGTCCTGGCAACCATCTGCTGGTGCAATCAGCTTTAACAGGGACAGTTATTCATTTTGGAGGTGAGGGGACTGAACCTCACGTAACAGATAACTGGCATAATCAAATCTGACCATGCCAACCTTCACTGGAAAATCAGAGTGTGTTCAGCATGCTTCTGGACATGAGGAACATAGATCCAGGCCATACATTTTTCAAAGCCACATGATTAAAGCCCCTGAATGAAGGAAGCAGTTGCAGCAGTTGCAGGCCCACGAAGCAGTTTGGATCCCCAGGGCACTTTCTGGAGCCATGAGAGCTGAGCTTGCCGTTAGGGACAGGATGCCATTCTGGAAGATTTCTCTCAAGCAGACTGCCTGGGTAGATCAGCAGAGATGGCCATCTAGAAGAAAAGCCTTAACACTATGAGGGAAGCCACCCAAGCTCCTTTCAAGAATGTCACTTTTAATGGTTCTCTTTCCGAAGGACCACCTGCCGATTTACACCCTAGCACAGAAACACAGCAGAAACACCCCCACCCCTCAAATGTCAGTGGCACCAGGACAGAATACCTTAGGTTTGAAGGAAAGACACAGTTTATGGACTCCTCCACAACCGGAGAGTTAATTTGGCTAAAAGAGAAATACTAACTGGTGCTGGAAAATGGCCTTTTGAAAAATCAGAGCCACCGTCTACAAGGGCACATGTCAGACTGCACACACATGTTTCTGAGACCCCAGCTAAGATACTGCCCTACAAGCCCCCCTTAAATCTCAGGGGAACTTTGATGCCACGCAAAGAGCCGCAGCTTGGAGGAGGGAATGTTATTATCCCCCCTCCCCCACACACAACATGGAGCAAAAAGGTATGCCTAAAGGGGGTCTTTGCATTCTGACCTAAGTTTCATTGCTTTTAATTAATAAGAAACAAAGCCCAGCTTCTAAATTCCCAATTACACTAGGTTTATAAAGGTAAATAGAGAGCATCAATGTTATCTTAATACTCCCCCAAAAGTAGTAGGGCAAATTGCTTGTTGTTTCAAGGCACTAGGAATCTTTGGTTTGGCGTGCAGCCATCTTCTTGTTCATTTCAAAGAGAGGTAGCATGAACCGCACACACTGAACGCTTCAATTCCGCTCTTCATAAGCATCCAGATGATTACATTCTTTAACTCATTAAGAAGCTGAAAGACAAAAGACATGAAGCGTTTTTTTCAGGTTAGCACTAAATCTAAATAAGTCATTTAGATGAACTACAGGAGCTATGGGCTTCCATGGGCATGTGTGACTGCCAGGATTGGAATTTCCTGGCTTGATTAAGACTACTGGTTCTAATGGAATTTGTTTTGAGTTTTGAGGCAGAGGTTCCACTGTTAGTGGTAGCTTCTCATTTACACTGGGGGGGGGGATACACAGGCTAGAGGCAGATGCACTTTATGGGGACAGCCTTTTCTGATACTTTCCAAGGTAGACTGTAAAATCTGGAGGCAGTTAATTAAAAAATCTTGTTCCATTGGAGGAAGGGTGCCGAAAGAGAATAGCAGACCAACCGCATCTTCCTTTCCGCTGGTTTCCAAATATAACAGAGACTCCATGGGTTCAAGGCCAGGAGGAGAAGGCTTATTGGAAGCCATGGAGATCTGCGATTTCTTGATCTTAGCAGGGGACAGTGGATACGGAGGAGAGGAAAAATCAATTAGCATCTGGGTTTTGGATGGTCCTGCAGATCTCACACCGCTACATTTAGTTTTGATTTACCTAATTTTGAGTCCAGCGGACGGGGCTTCTGATTACCTAATTGTTGGATTGAGGAGTTCCGGAAATATCTTTGGAATTTAACCCTGAATTCAGGAAATCCAGAGCAGTGTGCAAGCACATAAACTGGGATCTGAGCAGAATGGAATAGCAGACAGAAGCGCTCACGATACAAAGGTCCTGAAATTTGTTCAGCCTTCATAAGATCAATGGAAAACAGTCTAGTTTTAAGAAAAAACGCCAGATGTTTACTCGCCCATTGTTTGGTGGACCAACTGATACGTCTCCCTTGACAGGGGGAAACATTCACAACTACATCCTTGGGAGGGAGCAACCTCCTTTGGCCACCTGCCCAGGACAAGTTTAAATTTCCCTTCAGGTCTCACACCTGGCTCCAGAGCAGTCTCACGGCTGCTTCTCGTGTTCCCTTGGTGACTGGATGGGCTTTTTGGGTAGAGAGCCAGTCTTCCCACCTCCATTTCCTGAGAAGTATGCTGTGTCCAGCTTTTCATACATTTTCTGCAACTGAGCTGCCAGAAGGTCTAAGTTTCTCTGACTTACCATGCTAATGCAGTGGAGGCGGTGAACACAGGTCGTGAATCACTATGACATTATTGGTAGTCACTGATTGCTCTAAAGAACAAACCGTTTCATCCTGAGCTAGGCAAATCAAATCTATTCACATGTCTGAGGGGAGCAAAGAAGTCCTCTAAGCTTAGTTTGTTTGCTTAAAGGAGCTGAGCATTCCTCTTCAAACGGACACGTTCTTTTCATCCCCATAATGAAAATCCAGACTCTTGCCTTTTCCTTTAGCCTCTCTTTTATCCACTTCAAAGTCACTTGCAGACTCAGAAGGAAGAAAAACCTTCACTCCTTAGGCCAATGCCCAGGGCAGCAGCTTTGGCCAATTACCCACCTGGATCACAATTCTCAGAACACGGAGACAAAACAAAGCTCCAGAATCAAAACAATCACCCAGGCAAAATAAAATTTGCTCTTAAGTATGCAGTTCCGCAGGGCCTGCAAGACGGAGCTCTTCCACCAGGCTTTCAATTAGGAGCCGCCCCTACTACTACCAACGAGCCGGCCCATAGTGCTAACATCTGACTGCTACCACTGTGCTCAGGAAGATCATTGAGTGGCAACTGCCTGGTTGTATGATATTCCAGCATGCCATCCTATGCATTTAATGTATCAGCACGAGCACTTTATGAGATTCTTGTTTTATTGTTATTGCATTTTAAACTGTTTTTATGTGAATGAATGGTCATGTATAGACGCTTGCCCGCTTGCGGGAAGGGCGGGGTATAAATTAAATTAAATTTAAAAAAATATATCAGCAAAACAGATTTAAAAGTGCTGTATTAAGTCACTCAAGGTAAAACAAAAGGGTTATCTAAAAAATAATAAAATACAGAGCTCTGAGAGCAAGCTTCTGTCAGGTAGCCACCATCTTGAATCCCACAAATCTAAATAAGCAATCTTCCTCCATTACCCTGAAATCAGTTATTATACACTTGCTGATTTCAGAGGAATGGACATCACAGTATTCCACAGTTAAGTTTCAGCCATCATCATTTCAGCATTATTAGGAGCATGCTTTTTATTTCAGCTTTTGCTGATCAAATGAGCATGCCAGAGAATGTGACCAAAGAATGCAAGCAGGTGCAAGAAGACAGATTGCTCCCAATGTGCCCTGTTCTTGGCCCCAGGATGCAGTGCTACCCTGCCGAGTGACTGGGAATGGCGTGCTAGCAATGCTGAATGGGGTAAATGTTTTTCTTGTCCTCCACCCGGGCATCTCCAGCCAGGAGATAACAACAGTACACAAATGGGGATACCCTCACAGCTCCCTCTTTGGGACTTTGTTTACCATGCAAGACACATTACATATGCCGAGGAATGCTTGATGAAGTTCTTATTGGCCGATACTTATGATCCTGTCTCACGCAATGTTGCTAAATATTGTTACCTGGTAATTTAAAAGCGCAGAATGTACTGTAACTCGAGCCACTAATGACAGAATTGACTGGTTTGGTATTTTAGTATTTAAGGCTGCAAGGATTCTATGTTGTAGACTCGGTGTTGTACTATTGTGGTTTATTTTGCTGGTCTTATGACTGTTTTTAATAAACTTGACTTGACTTGACATGCAAGACACATTTCCTGCCATGCTTCTCTCCTGCGCCTTTACAAAACTTAACATTTCCCCCCATGTTAAAAATGTAGAGCACAGTACACAATTGAGCCAGCAGGCAACAACTGCCTACTTGATCAGAGGACTGCGCAGGAAAAGCATAGAAAGGAACATGACTCAGTCATCAACAGGGCCTTAAAATCTGAGACAGAAGAACATTTTTAGTGTTCCCATTTTGGAAAGGAGTCATAGCCAACTGCAAGACCGACTTAGAAAGCAGAGGGTTCCAGGTAAGGTTCCCAGCATCGCCCATTTAAAGGGTTGCAGATAAAAAGGTTGTGAAAGGATCCCTGGCGGACACTCGAGGGCTGCCATCAGGTGCCACACTGGGCTAGCAGGGCCCCAAGACCCAGGAGACCAGCACGGGACGACGCTCCTGAATTTTAGATGACTTGCGTGGCTGTGCCAGGGTGTTCACGCACAGCATCTATGGATGGATGAATCTTGCTTTCCAGAGCCTTCAAACTGCTCTTGGAATTTACGCGTTCCAAAAACAACTTTGGGGGCTTATATAAAATGTTGACCATTTCCATTTCATTTATTAGCTTCATTGACCCGAGGTCTTAAGCCAAACATGCAAACAACAAATATAAAATGCATTACATAAAATTACAAGAAATTTAAACAGAACGTCTTTACAATAAAAGCTAGTAAACATGCTCTCAATCAGTAACATCAGACCACATTTTATAAACTTCAATGAATTCTATAAAATCCCATGATATTATGGAAATTAGTTTTAAAATTTTAAAATTGTATACAAAAGGTACTCATAACATTTCAAAGCCGCTTTAAAAATAGCACTATTGAAAGATATTTTGCCACCAAGCGAGTCATTTCAGGGTCCTCATCAGCTAATAGTATGGTTATCACCCAGGGTTCCATAGGGAGGTGATATCTTTGTAAAATAGGAGTAATCTAGTAGGATCTGGGGTCAATCCATTGGTGGCAAAATAACATAAGATGATCTAAGGTCTCTATTGCACCTGATCCACAATTACACAATCTATTTGAGTACTGTATTTTAGCAAAACGGCCACTTAGCTCTACAGTTGGAAAAACATTCAACCTTGCAAGCGTGAAGACATATCTAGATCTGGGGGATGTAAGGAAGCTCATATATGAGGGAGTTTTCTTAGGTGGAACAATCCCTAAGGCAGAGTTGGAGCATACTCGCCTAGCACGAATTGAAGTGCTGAGTCGGTCAATGTTTGTCACCCTCAATCTCATCAAATTTAGCGCTTCTTGATAATTTAAATTATTAAGCCCCGTAGGGGCGAGACCAATCCACTCCAGCTTGTTATCTATATGTTTTGCCCACGTACATTTATAATTATCCCCTTTTAAAAGATAAAGAAGACCTCCTTGAGCATTAGGTGTCATATAAAGAACTTTCAGTCTCAATTTTTTGTGGAATCAGCTTTCGAGAGGGAAGCGCCTGAAAATTTGGGCATGCACACACACAGAGAGAGCTTGGGACTGTGGCCCTCAAATGGAATATCCCCTCAGTTCCTCCTCTTTCTTCATTTATTACACATTTTCAGACAGCTTTTGTATAAAATGCTCAAGCGGTTTGTCCACCCTGGTCTTTCTGTCTGTTTTCTCTCCTGCCTCTTGTCAACTGCATCACATCTTAATCCTCAATCAGAAGTTTGCTCCAAGCAGGATTCAGAGCAATGAAATTTTGTCTCTTTAACACCAGAACAAACCATTCCTGGTGATTTGCTTCAATTACAGGTGAAGTGGCAATCCACAGCACACCATGTTTCAAGACGCTAGGTAATTTTTTTCTGTACATGCAGAAGCATATCAAAAACCAATGTGTTGGACCAATGTTATCTTAGCAACTGAAATATACATACCTGTATGGATAGCCGTGGTATTTCGATCTGAATATGGAAAGCAGCCAGCTGAAGAACAACACCACCAGGCCAATGCCAGCCACGCACATGACTGCACAAGATTATATGGAAGAAAATCAGCCAGACCAACCAGCTTTATACAAGGGGGGGGGGGGGGGGGGGGGATAGGGGGGGGGGGAGGATGCTTAACAATGACCTAGTGCCGTCTGAGCAGCCTCAACAGCCCTGACTAGCCAGCCCTCGTCTGAGCTTGGAAGCTAAGCAGGGGTCAGCCACAATTAGTACTTGGACTGCACACCACCTGGAATGAAGAGAGTTGCTGTGCAAAGGCAGGCCATGGCAAACCACCTGTGCTCATCTCTTGCCTTGAAACCAACCCCCCCCCCCCAATCCTGTGGTCATGAGTTGTGACATGACAGCACACAATCATTTTTACAGTGATACTTTCCCCCCCCCAACTGAGTGAAGTCCACAGGGGGGAAACCCTCAGAAGCAGCCTCTGCCGCCCTCACATGGTGGCATTCCATTTCGCAATGATTAACTACCACCAAAAAACCCAGGTTGCTTACCTGTAACTGGTGATCTTCGAGTGGTCATCTGTGCATTCACACCCATGGGATACAGTGCGCTTGTACTGGATTGATCGGCATTGTAGCAAGCTCTTAACGGATTTTCGCGCCTAGACCTCAGGCATGCGCAGGAACACCACCACGCATGCCCAGGGCACGGACATCCCGCCAGTTCCTTCAAACTGCCGCAAATCAACCCCTATGGAAAATGTAGAAGCAGACAGCAGCAGGGAAGGAGGGCGGGTGGTGTGAATGCATAGATGACCACTTGAAGATCACCAGTTACAGGTAAGCAACCCGTTTATCTTTGACGTGGTCTCTGTGCCTCACACCCATGGGAGATTAGCGAGCAGTGGCCTACCTGGAGGAGGGTGCTGGCAGGTCATTACTGCGAAGCCGAGGATAATTTTATTTATTTATTTATTTATTTTCGCATTTGTATCCCGCCCTATCCCGAAGGCTCAGGGCGGCTAACAGGGGCATCAAGTGCCAAGTAAAACAATATCATATAGTTTAAAACAAAACATATAATTAAAACAATCACATATAGTTTAAAACCATAAATTACAATCAGATATATAGCAATATATAGCAAACTTCAGCAAGAGGGAAGATCTTAAACTCACCTAGCTACCGACAGTCTCATACTTAGAGCCATTTCCAGTGCCACAATCCACCCCCCGGGGGCAAGACAATCAGCTGTTAAATTCGCTAGGGCATAGGGATGCAGATGGAATGATGACGGCGGCGGCTCCTATCCAAAGGCCTGGCGGAAGAGCTCCGTCTTGCAGGCCCTGCGGAACTGAGAAATGTCCCGCAGGGCCCGGATCTCATCCGGGAGCTCTTTCCACCAGGTAGGAGCCGCCACCGAAAATGCCCTAGCCCTAGTCACAGCAAACTTAGCTTCTTTCGGGCCTGGGATTTCCAGGAGATGCCTCCCTCCCGACCGAAGTGCCCTTGGGGGAATATATGGAGAAAGGCGGTCCCTCAGGTAGGCTGGACCCTGGCCATTTAGGGCTTTAAAGGTCATAACCAGCACTTTGAAGCAAATCCGGAACACTATCGGCAGCCAGTGCAGCGCTTTCAGCGCAGGCTGAATATGGTCCCTCCTTGAGAGACCCATCAACAGCCTGGCCGCAGCATTCTGCACTAGCTGCAGCTTCCGGATTTGCGACAAAGGCAGCCCCATGTAGAGAGCGTTGCAGTAGTCAAGCCTCGAGGTGACCGTCGCATGGATCACTGTGGCCAGGTCCTCACGGCTGAGGTAGGGGACCAACTGCCGAGCCAGCCGAAGATGGTAGAAGGCCGCCCTGGCAGTGGTTGCTACCTGGGCCTCCATTGTTAATGAAGAGTCCAGGCGCACCCCCAAACTCCTAACTTCCGATGCTGGCACCAAAGATGCCCCATCGAAGGTCGGAAGAGGGATCCCCAACCCCGGACTGACCCGACTCCAGCACAGGACCTCCATCTTCGCCGGGTTTAATTTCAGCCAGCTCAGCCTTAGCCACCCAGCCACAGCCTGCAAAGCCCGGTGCAGATCTTCTGGATCGGAGTCCAACCGGCCGCCCAACATCAGGTAGAGCTGGGTGTCATCTGCATATTGATGGCACCCAAGCCCATACCTCCAGGCCATCTGGGCAAGGGGGCACATATAGATGTTAAACAACATCGGGGAAAGCACCGCCCCCTGAGGCACACTGCATTCAAGCGGGTGCCTC